CACAAATTCTCCTAAATCACTCGTACGCACAATTTAAGAACAAATCTGTGCGTACGAACGGTTCTTGCATGAGGCCCAATGTTTCTGAGCCTCTGAGGTGTTGATGTGTTGCAGCTCAGCTGAATATGTCTGACAAGCTCAGACCTCCTGCAAACATGGATCAACTTCAGTGAAACGGGGGAGGAAAATACAACATAAATTTTCTAATAATAAAATCACTCACCAGCCCCTTTATACACTTGTTCCATCACTTAACACAAATAACTATTTAGCCAGTCACATMGCAGAAACTCAATGCCTTAGGTATCTAGATGTGCTGAAGACAACTTGCTGAAGTTTAAATCAAGCAGCATAATGAGGGAATAAAAGCTACTGTCTTTGAGCATAACATGGTTGTATTTCAGAAAAAGTGCATTTTGCATTTTTAATCCTACATTAGTGCTGGCTTCTTCTTCACTATCTAATTAACTGTCTGGTCTGAGTCAAGAGGAAAACTATAATCGGATAATCACTTTACTAAAACCTTATATAAAAACATCAGTGGGCGGAGTGTGTAATCCCATTAACAGCTAACCATAAGCAACTCCTCATGTTTCAGCTAAGACGTGTCTCATCTCAGCTTTCAATGAATCATKACACTGTTTACACGCATCTTTCTTCTCCACAAGGCACAGTTAGAGGCCATGAGGTTAAACAGGCTCCATGCAACGACAGTGGTACCCAGTCCCAAAACCAGAGAGGAGAAGGGTGAGGTCAAGCCCCACCAGAGAGTCCACCGCCTCTCCTCYGACGAAGGCCGTCCCAAGACAGCCACCTCAGAGAGCCGAATCACCACCATCCCTGAAATCGCAGAGGCATTTGAGAAAAGACTGAGCCTCAGAGATAAGAAGACGAACTCTCTGGTGAGTGGCTTCATTGTTAAAAGCATGTTTTAATTTTTTTCTCTAACATTAGCTATGATTATTAACTGTGGGGCAAGTCAGTTTAGGTGAAGCTTTTATAGAGTAAGGAGAACAAATGTTCAAATTGCAGGTTAATGTGACACAAATCTGTTTTACCCTAGGCGACCCATATTGGATTTTTTTCTGACAGTCTCAATGTGGCATATTAATTTTTTATAATCCAATCCAGGCCTTTTCATTTGTGGTGGTACCAAATCAGATATGTATCTGGGGCCTCATGCATAAAGAAGTGCGCAGCTTTCACACAAAAAGTTGACGTACGGACAAATTTAGAAAAATGCACCGCACCAAAAAATTCAGATGTATAAAACCGTGTGCACGCAGGTTCCTGTGCAGCTTTCCTTTATACATCCCAATGAACGTGGAACTGAGCGCACCTGAGACACCTCCTGTGACACGCCTCCATTTAAATCTGTAAAATGGATGTAAATGTGTCCAGCATGRGAGATTCTCCTCAGATTGTRCTCTCTGTGGGATCAGAAATGATTTTTAGATGCAGGAAAAATATGAATTAAATGGAGAATGAGTGAGAAAACTGTCTAAATAAGTACTGGGGTGTAAAAATGAGTTTGCCACTCGCAAAGGTGTGTGGGTGTTGGTYTGTACGCGTGTGTGCTGCTTCAGCGGCGCATGAGGCTGGGAGACATTTCCACCTTTACACGTTTTTAATAAATGACTGTAAACACAGAGGAACGATGAGTTTGGTAGAACTTAGAAAAATATTTATTAAATTGTTGATATGAAGAAACGAGTCGCAGCTCTGCGAGTTTCTGCCGCGGTGTAGGGTTTATATTATAGCATCATGAAGTCTCTCATTCAGCTGCATGGCTCGGCTCAGAACTACAGTAAAATTCCTGAATGTAATTTGTTCGGTGTGACACAAAAAAAAATTTAAACAATAAAAAATCATGCCYTCCTCAATTTTTATTGTGGGGATATCAACCTGCAGAACAGCTGACATTGATCCATAAATTATGCACAACTTCACGCAGCAACAGATCTATTGTCTGCGTCATGTGGAGCTGAGGAACCACCACAGCTGAGCTGTTCTGAATTAATCTGCTGAGTTGACAAAGTTTTTTTCTCAGTTAGAATTAAAATATTTCTTAGACAATTCACACATTTTATTCTCAGCTGTGTGCGCCTCGCAGGCCTGCGTTCTGCATGTGTTTCCAACTACATGACAACAGTATAAAAGGTTTACAGTTTACAGACTGGACTGAGGTTCTTTGATCAGTTTTAGGC